GATAGATAGATAGACAGATAGATACATTAATTTGTACTGTCTGCCACCTTCCATAATGTAAATATTCCCATCATGGCTGATTTCTATTTACCAATGATTTACCTAGAGTTAGTGATTTAGCTCACAAAATCCATAAGTACTGTATTTAACAATTGCCTCCCAGGAGTTCAGCGCACCACTGATTCTCCAGCCTCCTCAGTTTTCTCATCTTGCCATTGTTTTAGTCACTTTGTTGTTTATTAACATCCCCCTTGCCTGATGGACAGGGAAAATAAAGTGAGTGAACAAAGAAGCAGGTAATTTTTCTATCACTGGAGCCAACCTCCCACACTCCCTAAGTAAAGCAGAATGAGTGGGGAGAAAGTTGAAACCAGTATTAGCTAGATGTTTGTGAGTTTCAATTACCCCATGCTCTCTGCCCCTACTACTGCAGATCACTAAAAGCAGACGCCATAATCAAATATACAAAATGCAAACACACTTTCTGACCAAATACAGTACTGATGACCACAACCTGGAAAAAGCAAAGAAGAGAAATAAACTATGCTGGAAAACCAAGAAGGGTCAAGTTTATCAAGATGGTAGAGAGGAGGTTAAAATGGGAAACCAAACAACTTCTCTGGGTAGAAATAACATGGAAAATATTTTTCTGAATGTTAAAGATCTAGCAGCCCTCTGGACCAATATCTAAACAGGAAAAAACATACCAAACTAACAGAAAACTATTCAGCAAAATATAAATTTTTTATCTTAACACGGTTGGAAACTGGGGAACAATTTTCTGGAGTTCTGTGATTAAGTCTCACTCTCTCCACCACCGAAATGGGCTCCTTGGGTGGTATTTATGCGGAGACAGAAGAGGAAGACAGCTGGCCATATTTCCTTCCCTCTCTCTAGGACTCTGGCTTGCCTTCCCCTCCCTTCTGTTACTAACAGAGGCAGCACCACATGAATAATAGTTCACAAACTGTGTGCCTGATCTCTAGGGCACGTCAGAGTTCCTCTATGTTAAGGAGGTAGTTTCAAGGGAGACGGTCTGTAAAAGCAGTCTTATTTTTATGGCTCACTGAACGTTTACTGACGTGAACCCCTCTCTGTGATGACACGTGTCAGATCCGACCTCTTGTTGACAAAGCTCCAGGCGGGGTAGAAAGGAATATCCAGCTTTGCTCCGTAATTTCAGCTTACTTGCTACCCAGGCGCTGGGGACTCCAGGGCTTTTAACCCCTTTCGGTCCAACCTCGAGGCTGACTCGACAGACCAGGTGCTAGGAGCAGGTCCAACGTCAAGCAATAAGAACATTAAAAAGTTCAACATTCAATCCCGTCAATTAATTTGGACCAGACTGTTTGAATTCCAAAAATAACATTGGACTGCAAAGGGTTAAAGGCTACCATAGCAACAGCTGTTACTTGACTTTGGTAATATGGTTAAGGAACCTGAACTCAAGCCACATAGAAAAAAATATGTAAAGATGGGAATAAAATACACACACACACACACACACACACACACACACACACACACACACATACCTACGTAGGAGTGAAACAGGACTACCACAGAATCATTCTTACATACAGTGGGGCCTTGACTTACGAGTTTAATTCCTTCCGAGACCGAGCTTGTTAAGGAGCTCGTTAACTCAAATTACTCTATCAACTCAATGCAAAAAAATCGGCTGAGAGACAGCTGGTATCTCAAAAAACCCATTAGTCGGGACACTGGTAAGTCAAGGCCCCACTGTATAGACAAGCAGAAGGAAGGAATGGAGGGCATTTCCATTCCAATTAAATGAACTGCAACTTAAGAAGGAGCCTGACACTAGAGGGAAAAAAACTAAAGCATGCACATAACAAAAGTGTCGTTGGTATTTGGGGCTGGCTACTTGTTTCAAAATCTGAAAAGAATCAAAGAGAGTAGGAGACAGATTTAATCTCAAGGTATTCTAAATCATTCAGTTACCCAACTCAGGGAGAATATAATGACCCTCTTTCACTGAAGTATAATATGGTCAGCAGAGCTGTGTCAGAGGAGCTAAAAGGGCACCTTATTGACACAAAAGGGAGAAAGTGGGTCTGGAATTAACTGTGCCATTATGCCCATGAGCGAGAAAAGAGGTGGGCAGTCACCCGGACATGGCCGTGTGTGAGTCACATCTGGCAGAGGCAGAAATGAGATCATAAAAGAGCAAGGATGGCAGATTGTTAGACGTGAAAACAGCAAATAGGTTACAAACTTGACGAGTTATAATGAATGCAAAACTCTAATGTGGGTCAAGCCATCATGAAACCCAGCAGAAGCCGATTATTTGAGGCGGGGTGGAAGGGGCCAAGAATTGGAATTATCCTGTATAGTATTCCAAAGGCCTGCTAATTTCAGAGGAAGAAAAGTGTGATGTTAAAAGAACTGTAAGGCTTACCGGGTAGCAAGATAGAATATTGACATTTTAAACAGAGTAGAAGGGTGCAGTTTTTACAAATACTAAGCTGTTTAAATATGCGTTTGCTGACCCTGCCACTGATTTGCCGGGTTATGTGTGTGTTCCTGTGTGCATATACATGCGAATTTCCTGGCTTCCCTGAGTCGGAGAGACTTCTTCAGGTAAAATGACAAAACTAAAATACGTGATTGGAAAAGTGGGAGAATACAAGGCTCCTTAGTAAATGAAAGGCCGAGATTGAATGACATCACTTTTTTGCTCCAGAGGCTAGAAAGGACCACTGGGAGACAAGAGCGGCCTGAGCCCAGCTGTTCGATGTAACCACAGCCACTTACCCGCCGCCGCCCTGTGCCTACCCACACCGAGCAGAACGCGAGCAGAACACAGCCTCGCCTCAGGACATTCCATCCCGTGGATTATTTGATGACGTCCCTGTCTCTTACCCTCTACCAGGGTACAATTTTCTAAAAGCAGAGAAAATCCTTCCCAAGAAAATAAACACTCCAAAACAACTGTCCCATTCTCTTACCTATTTGGATTACATAATTACTATGAAGTCAAGACTTTTTTCCTGACACACCAGAAAAGAACTTTCAGCTCATAAGCTGGACTGCCTTTCCTCCACAGTCCAAGGCCCTAAAATCAAAGCAAACAAAACAAAAAACCAACTCCCTAAAAGGCAGCCCCCAGTGCCTACTTGGATAGAATGAAAAATTCCACTGCCTCAACTCTGCTCCCAATGGAAACTCAGATCAAAGTATTTTAAGTTTGAGGGGACATGTTAAGTCCTGTATCCTACATTCTTCAACAATAACAACAACAATACATACCCTAATGTCCAAAACTGCCCTGCATAGAAAGAGATCCCTGGGTATTTTTCTTGGCTCCACTGAGGGTAGTTTAGACAAGTGTACATCTTAACTTTTTTGTTCAATGGGTTATAAAATGGAGTTACCAATAGTTGGTAACTGGCATTATGTACCAGCCACCAAGTAAAGCAGTGAACCCCCTCTCGACCCACCCCTGCACCAGGAGAAAAACCACTGGCCCCAACCGACTGAAATCCCGCAGAGCACAACACTAATTACGGTACCTATACTTTTCCGGTTGAGGCAGCAATAAAAATGCTGAGGGTTCCTTTTATAGCCTGCTCTTACTTGTTCGTCTAGATCAATGTAGAAATAGCAGCAATTTGTTCTTCGTAATTCCTCTCCAAGAATAAAAAGGGCCATGATGTTCCTGGAATGCCTCCTCACTCACAAATTAGAAGTGTACCTCCTGTGATCACTGTACTTTGCTCATTCAGTCTATGTGAGGATTAAATGAGATAATGCATGCGAAGTGCTGAGTAAGAGTCTGGCACAGAATAAACTTAATAAATAATGTTAGCAATTGTAAAAAAACAATATATATATAT